GATAGTGGACACGATGGGTCGTAGTGGGGTACCATCTTTATGGATCTTGAGAAGACCATAGAATCTAGGAGGTCTCGCAGCAGAGGGTTTTAGGGAGGGAAGTTTAGTTGATTCGATTAGGGAGGTCGAATTTGTGATGATCTTGTTGGTTTTAATCGAATTCGCGAGCACAAATCAGATTTGAAACACGGCAGAACGAATTCTTCTGCCGTAGCTGATCACTGTTACAACGCTGTGGGTGATCACGATATAATTTTCTCCGATACCAAGGTTCTTTGCAAACTCACGGGTTTTTATCAGAGATTTGTTCACGAGGCAATTCCGATCTACAAACACAAACACAATTTCAACCGAGAAGATGGTTTCAAATTAAGCAACCATTGGAAAGATGTTCTAAATCGAACCAAACATTAAACTAATTTTCAATGGTACAGTATATTTTTCAAGTAGTGGTACCCCAAACTTTTGCAGCTTCTTAAAATCCCCTTTTCACACCACCAGCATGTGGACGCTACCGTGCCCCCTCGCCAGCCTGCACAGGTCGACCCCCTCCCTACCTTTCATCATGCTAAGTCCGCCTATTAAAATGCAAATTTTTATGCTAATTCCTTTGTCAAGGCACCTTAATTACTCTCACACAGCTTAAAGGTCCCGGTCTGAGCTTGGCTGTGTTTCACTCCAGCACTGTCCTCGAGACAGTCTGGTCCCTTCACCTGACGAAGGCCGCTTGTGTTGTGGCCGAAACATCGTGATTTTTGTTGTTTTATTTTTTACTTACGTGACTTTACCGAATAGAACCAAAGAGTATGGATCATTGCAGTCACGAAAGCTTCAAATCTAGAATTGGTTTTAATCGTTAGGCTGTTAGTAGGGTCATTGAATTTTTTTGAGTAACTCCCATCATTGAGTAGGTCCTGAATTTTATTGTCGTATGAATTTTTATCCATAATTACAGTGGCATTGCCCTTGTCGGCTGAGAGGATGACTATATCATCTCTCTGTTTTAATTTCGCGAGTTCAGAGCGTTCATCTTTGCTGATGTTGCTAACGGGTTTCTTAGCACTCTTAAGAATAGTGGCTTTTTCAGCTCTCGCGACGTCTGCTTGGATGTGTCCTATACCTTTGAGGGCTACATCGACCTGAGAAATGATATCATCTATTGGTATATGTTTTGGGGTGACAGAGAAATTTAGCCCTTTAGCCAATACTGTTTTCAGATTGTCCGAAATCGGGGTGCTACTCTGATTGATAACAATTTTGTTAACGTCTAGTTTTGTGATCTGTGGAACTGGGTTTTTCTTTAATAAGTGGTTGAATTTAGCAATTAGGTTAGCCTTGCATTTGACTGATAGTGAATCAGCAGAGAAAGCAGTCATATTATCAACGTGGTTCCAATCATAAGGTGTCATTTTTTGTGTTAGCATTAAATGAGATTGTAGGAGAGTCTTGTCTAAACTATCGAGTTCAAATCGGAGTAACATAATCCTCTCTGAGATTAATGATAGACTAGCCTTAAACAGAATCTGTTTAGAGTTCGGTGAAGATACAGCGGGAGATGTGAGAGTGAAAGCGATGGGTATTACCTTCTGGTCGCGGGATCTTTTGAGGAAGGTCAGCGTCTCGATGAGCTGTGACTTCTTGTCTCGTCTGTTAAAAGCTCTAACAGATAGGTGAAAATCTTCCCCGTAGAAGTTGTTAATTCTAGATTTGAAGCTTTCGTGACTGCAAGAATTCATACTCTTTGGTTTTATTCGGTAAAGTCACGTAGGTAAAAAAACAAGATCCATAAAGAAGGTACCCCACTACGACCCATCGTGTCCACTATCAACTCTCCTACCTACAAATTGGCCCATTTTCTGTCAGATACTCTGCTTCCTTTCACTGGCAAGACCGCCTCAGCAGTACTTAACTCATCCCATTTGGTTTCTATGGTCAAAGACATTGTACTGGCCCCTGACGATATCCTTGTCAGCTTTGATGTGGTTTCTCTGTTCACCAAGGTCCCAGTACCTGACACCATTAAAATAATTGAGGATCTGGTCCAACATGGACTAAACCCTGAGGTACCTCCGCTGGTTAGGCACTGTCTCACCAACACCTACTTTACTTGGAATGGTACCTTTTACAAGCAAAATGAGGGTACTCCCATGGGTTCCCCCTTGTCACCAGTGATAGCCAATGTTTTCATGGAGAAATTTGAATCGGACGCCATCCAGACATCCACCCTCAGTCCTTCCCTGTGGAAGAGATATGTGGATGATACTTTCGTCATTTGGCCACATGGTCTCCCAGCTTTGAACCTTTTCCTGGACCACGTGAATTCCAGACACCCTTCCATCAAATTCACCATGGAAGTAGAGAAAGATGACAAACTGCCATTCTTGGATGTTCTGTTTGAGAGGAGGGCTGATGGCTTGTTGGGACATTCTGTTTACAGAAAGCCCACCCACACAGATTCCTACTTGAAACCGGATTCCCACCACCACCCGGCTCAAAATAATTATCTCATCAAAACGTTATACCATAGGGCTCATTGCATTTCGGACCAACACCACTTGACCAGTGAATTAAAACATGTACATCTGGCCCTAAAAAGGAATGGATACTCTGACCGTACCATCCTTCAAGCTGTTTCTCCTACCATACAGAAACAACCACTTGATACTCCGATCAAAACCATCGCACTACCATACATAGCAGGCGTTACTAAAAAGATTTCCAAAATTCTAAACAAACACAAGATCCAAGTCCGGTTCAATTCAGTGCACAAAATTCGTGATCTGATCCCATCCGTAAAGGATGTCATCCCTGACTTACAGTGCCCTGGAGTTTACAATTTGAGTTGTACCTGCGGTGATTGCTATATTGGGGAGACGAAACGACATATCTCTGACCGAATTCGCGAGCACAAATCAGATCTGAAACACGGCAGAACGAATTCATCTGCTGTGGCTGATCATTGTTACAACGCTATGGGTGATCATGAGATTGTCTTCTCCAATACCAAGGTTCTCTGTAAACCTACAGGTTATCACCAGAGATTTGTCCACGGAGCCATTCAGATATACAAACACAGGCATAACTTCAACCGAGAGGATGATTTCAAATTAAGCAACCACTGAAAAGACGTTTTAAATCATACCAAACGTCAACTATCTTCTTTGGTTCTTTCGGTAAAGTCACGTAGAATGAGAATAAAATAATAAATTGATAAAATAAAATAACACAATAATATTCTCACGACGTTTCGGCCACAACACAAGCGACCTTCATCAGGTGAAGGGACGAGACTGTCTGGTAGGACAGTGCTGGAGTGAAAGAGCCACGTTCAGATGAGCCACATCTGAACGTGATGAATCATTGCAGTCACGAAAGCTTTAAATCGATATTTAAACGTCAACTAATTTCTAACAGCAATTTCAAGTAATGGTATACCAAGCATATTCCTTCCGAACTTTCTATTTCCCCTTTTTTCTACTCCCCCCTTACAGCACAGTCTTGCCGATCTTTAATTTTTCTATTTTTCCGTTTCTATTGCACACATACAGTGACCCATCCCCCGCACCCTCTACACAACACAAGACGGATTAACTCAGCTCCGCACCCCACCAAGGTCCCACTACATGCCCCCCCCCCCTTAACCTGCATTTTAGCTTTTCTATTTCTCCTGTTTTCTACTCCCCCATTACAGCACATTCTTGCCGATCTTTAATCTCTGACTTTAACACCCTACTGTGTCAACACTTTAACACAGCTATTTTAATAACAAATCAGTGTCTAAAACCACGTAAGTAAAAAAATTGGTCCATTAGCCTATTGCCATTTTTGGGACCATCGTTTTCCAGTAATATTTGTTGACCACCAACCCTTTATTAAAACAGGGTTAATCCCGCTGTGCATGATTAATGTACAGGACACAACTGCTCACGTGAGTAATACACCCATAGCCTAACAATTGTCCGCTAGTGCAGAATTACATAGGTAGGGCATAATGAACAGAAGGCGGTGTTGTGTCAAAGTCAGAGGCACAATACAGTGCCCTGTGACAGGCTTAGATGACCTTAAACTGACACGTTATTCACCCTCATTAAAGTAATGACCATAACGAGACCTCATTTGTTTAATAACACATCGTATTGAACTTTGCCAATTCACTCTCGATGAAGGCCTCCTCACCCACAGCCATTGCGGGGTTTGTTTAATAGTGCGGGTTGGCGACGGGGTGGAGGGGACAGAGACTCGCCTGGCTTTTATACAAAACGAGCCTTTTGCCCGTCCGTTATCGTGATTTGACCTACCCATATCCATTTTACACCATACAATTCTGACCTCCACTTTCCCGCGAAAGCTGCCAAAGTTCATTGTTCATCGCCATCATGAGAGGTCCACTGATCTGTGATGGTGGCGAGGAGATGTAAACTACCTCGCCTTGTATGCAGGAGGTCGTGGGTTTTCTACCAACCCTGACGCCTGCTCTATAGTTTGCAGTGTCTCTCTCCCTGAGGTCACGTGGATCTTCTCCGGGTCCTCCGGGTTTTCCCTCCAAATTTAGAAACATGCATTTGATAGTATTTCGCTGCTATAAATATCCACGTGATAATCAACATCGTTGAGCTATCATTTGTGGTAGCCAGGTCGCTCCTGAAAAGGAGCTATTTCGCTCAGTGGGCCTTACCTGGTAAAAAAGTTTTCATAGTTTTTTAATAGATCTCGATACAAGAAGCCACCCGCCTGTCCACCTCAAATAACGCGATTCCTCCCCCCGTCGCCTCTCACACAGACCAAGCTGCGGACCAATACAAGGACTTCGTCATGCCAGTGGTGTTTGCGGTCATTTGCCTGTTCGGCTTGACGGGCAACGGCCTCGTGGTCTTCACGCTGCTGAGATCACCTCGCCTGGGGCATCGCGGGCGCCGGGGGCGCGCCGTTCTCGCGGGCACCGGGGCTGGCGGCGCCCTCTGCGGCGGCGGCGGCGTCGGGCGCGCCGCGTCAGGCCCCGGCGCAGGTGGCGGCGGAAGCGCAGTGCCCGACATCTTTATGCTCAACCTGGCCCTCGCCGACCTCCTCTTCCTCCTCTGCATGCCCTTCCTGAGCCACCAGCTGCTGGGCCACAGTGCATGGCGCTTCGGGGCGCCGCTGTGCCGCCTCATCGTGTCGCTCGACGCCACCACGCAGTTCGGCAGCACGTACCTCCTGACGGCGCTAACGCTCGACCGCTACCTGGCCACGGTGCGGCCGCTCGGGGCCCTGTCGCTGCGCCTGCGGCGGCCACGCACCGCGGCCGCTGCCATCGTGGCGCTGTGGCTGCTGGCGCTGTTGAGCGCCACGCCGTACTGGCTGTACGCTCGCCTGCTGCCCGGGGACGACGAGGCCTGCAGCATCGTGCTGCCCGACCAGGATCGCGACATTTACTGGTTCACGCTCTACCAGGTGTGTGCGATTGCATGGACGTGCGCCTGCTGCTGGGATGGTGGTGGTGGTGGTGGCGACCATAGGGAACGCGCGGTGGCAAAAGCTGAGCCTTCACAGAGTCGGATCGAGTACTCTGACAACGTGGGGAAACTTGGGCTTTCCCGCAACAATTAAGACAAACTCGGCACATTAAGTTTAACGCGTGGGCTTTCGCGACCGATTGTATTCACGATAACGTGTTTTTCGGGTTAGATCGCGTAAATATAAATGTGTCGTTAACCCACCACCACCCAACACAGACGAAACGTAAGGTTTGTCGCGTAAACAAAACGTCCAACACACCGGTGTGTTGGACAGTAAACTCACAACATTTACAATTTGAGTAACGACGTTTCGCTGGTGATTACAACCAGCTTCATCAGGCGATTTGCCAGAATTGTGAAGAAGCCTTGCTGTTTCCGGTCGACGCATTTGTCAAGAACATTGCAACCATGAGTCTCCAGTACAGACAATGGTACAGTAAGCGATGGCTCTTCATAGCTTTCCTAGGACGTCATCTTATTGAAGTAGCTGAAATCCTGGGAAATCTGTCTGTTTTCCCAGGACATTACAAGTCCCAGTTTTTTTTCTAACAGTTGCATAATAATACTAATCCACCGCTCAAGCCAACATACATTTTACACGCAGTTCTCCACACTTCTGGTATTGCGAGATAGTAATTTCCCCACGTTATGTTCCCGGGAGCTGAGTACCAAACAGCTTACACACACAATAGGCGTCTCGGTCGTGACCTCAAAAAAACAGAGGTCGGCTATATTGCAGGTGCTTGATATTTTTTATACTGACTACACCGATGTGTGCACTACTTACTGCGACACATACACATATACACCATACTCATACAGACTACACAATATACACATATCGACTATACATAACATACTATACCAGGGTTTTTTTTAGCATATTGCTTCGAAGCCGAATGTGGCTCTTTGGGAACGGGTCATTGTGGAATTTCTTGGTGACAACATTTACAAAAGTAAAACTGTATTGTTGAAGAATAACTAAGGGGGGGGGGGGCACCCCTAAATATGCAGTTTATTCCATCAGCTATTTTGTTTATTTAAATAAAAGAATGTTCGTCATATGTTGTATACCTGTGTATGTGTACAAGTAGCTATGCATGTGATGCGGCTCTCGAACTATTTCGGTGAAAGACAAATAAAAAACGGCCCTTCCTCTTTGAAAGCTTGCCGAGCCCTTGGCTTTCCCAGTCAGGAGTGTTCTGAGCGTGGGACAGGCAGGGGGTGCCTTGGCCCCACCGGGTGGCCAAAGCTACGAGTTGGGGGCCCCTCGACAACCAACCATGAGATCGGTGTTCAACAACAGTGTAAAAAGAACAAGAGCTTCCGTAACATTGCAATTAGGCAAGAGGAGCCGCGATATGTAATAATAGCGTTGGTGCGACCGTGCAAGACGAATCAAATATTGGGGCCCCACGTGACCGATTGCCTCACGCCCAGAGCTGACAATTTCGGTACGACGCCACTGACATAATAAATGCTTCTCAAACGTTTTCATTCCACGGCACACACACACGACGACGACGACGCTTACTCGATCTTCGCGGGACACGCAAACCGAAAACTCACTGTTGGCCCGGGTGGGTGGGTGGGTAATGCGTTGCAGCTTGGAGAGAATTACCAATACCTGGCCTATACTGATCTTATACAGAACCATGGATTCAAGTGGCGCTGTCAAAATCCGTGACGAGAACTTGCCCAACTGTGCGAGTGTCTGCATGTATGTACGTGTATCCGTGTCTACACGTGTATCCGTTTCTCTGGGTTTCTGCGTTTCTCCATGTGTGTGGGTAGTGGTAGTGTCAATGGCAGAGCCAGGATTTTCAGGTAGGGGGGGCAACCCCTCCAGCAGTGAAAAATTATAGAGGTGTTGTTAGTAAGGACTTGTCCCTTGCTTTTTATGTGTGATCGGCATTGCGCTCGCTGAAGGTGAATGCCTTCAGGGAAGTCGTGGACTGTATACGCAACTGTGCACAATTCTGAGTCACTTATAACTGCTTTTCCATTACTTATTGCCAATTATGGACTCAGACTATTGTCCTATGATCTCAGAGAGTCCCTGGCACGTAATAATATGCTACACAGTTGCAGTGGGGGTCGCAAAATGCCGATTTATTACGAATAAACACCAATGATCCGGTCGAAATTAGGGATTTCGATCGGATCATTGGGGGGGCACGTGTCATCCCACTCCTCCCCACTGGCTCCGCCAGTAGGGAGTGTAGCAGTTAGCGCGCTGCGCTACGAACCCGGCGACCCGAGTTCGATTTTCGCTCACGGCCAACACCGATGACGATTATCAGAACTGGTCCTGGGCCTCCTCTAGGTTGACTCAGCCCCAAATGAGTACCTATCGCCATTAGGGAGACAAAGGCGGCCGGGCGTGTTGCTGGCCACCCACCCCCTCGTGTACCGTGCCGGCCTTTATAGGTGCTCGCTAACGGCACTTGCTACTCGAGTCTGTTAAGGTTATACGGGGATTGTTGTCTTTTTGTGTGTGTCGTGTCCATGTCTATTTGCCCAACTGCTCACGCACGACCGAGGGAGTTGAGAGGGCCGGTGGTAAGGGCTGACGGCTGTTTGCCGTGCTGCGCCGCAAGCAATGGACAGGGGAAGGGGGGTGCGGGTAGAGGGGCTGGATCGGCCACTGAACGGCACAGAGAGTTAGTTGTCTTTCCGTGCCGAGCAGTGAATTCGAAACTACCGCGTCACACCTGACCACGCCTGGCCGTCTTTGTCTCCCCAGGTGGTGATGTTTACACACCGCACCAGGCGCTCATTCGAGGCTGAGTCGACCTAGGGGAGGCCCAGGACCGGTTCAGATAATCGTCACCGGTGTCGGCCGTGTACGGGAATGGAACTCGGGTGGACATGTTCGCAGCTCTACTTAGCTAATTAATTTTCCCATTGTCAAATCCATGAAACCTAAGGCGTCCATCGAATTGTCTTTTTACTATCCCAAGAACAAGAATTGGAATAGGTGACAAAGCCTTTACCGTTGCAGCATCAACGTTTTGGAACAACCTTGTTTCTTCACTTAACATCATAAACCCTCCAAAACATATTCTGACTTGGAATGCTGGAAACAGCTACATTTTCAAATGTGATTTGTAAATGTAATACTTAACACATTCGTGGTTCTTTCGGTAAAGTCACGTCGAAGGAAAATAATAAAATAATAAAAATGTAATTCTCACGACGTCTCGATTGCAACACATGCAATCATCATCAGGTGTGAAAATCACAGCAACAAAATTGTGAAAAATTTCTTGCTGTGGTTTTCACACTTGATGATTGCTTGTGTTGCAATCGAAACGTCGTGATAATTTTATTGTTTTATTTTTTATAATTTTATTATTTCCCTTCTACGTGACTTTACCGAAAGAACCAAGAATATGAATCCCTGCAGTCACGAAAGCTTTAAATCGAAATTTAATACTTAATTAATTAAGTTACATTTTAGTGTAAACATTTTCTGGAGGGGCTGTGTTGTTTTTGTGTGGTCTGGGACTGTTTTTGCTGTTGTTTTACTGTCTTTCCAAAGATTGGGAATTTATTATGCAATTTGAACGTATACATACATGTATTTATACAAGGGGCACCACGGTGGTTGGATGTTATCTTCCTTGCCTGGTATGCGGGAGGTTGGGGGTTCGATCCCGACCTTGGCGTCTGTATATTTGGAGTTTGCATGTTCTCCCCGTGGTCACGTGGAATTTTTCTCCGGGTCTTTCCCGCCATATTCAGAAACATGCGTTTATACTATTTAGATTATTTTGCTGCTATAAATGTCCAAATGACAAGCCACTTTGTTGAGCTATCATTTGTGGCCAGGTCGCTTCTGAAAAACAAGTTCATACCTCAGTGGGCTTTGCCTGGTAGGATGGGGATGGTTTCGTTTTGTATTTGGTTTAACATGTAGGCTTTCGCGACCAATATTATTCATAATAAAGGTATTTGGGTTAGATCGCGTTATTTATAAATGTGTCGTAACCCTCCACCACCCGACACGGCCAATCAGCAAAAAAGTGTCACGTTGACAAAAGACAAATAATTCACTTATTTAGCCCACCAGTGTGTTGAAGAGTGAATCCACAACATTTACAGTTTGAGTACGACGTTTCGCTGGTAATTACATCCAGCATCATCGGGCAATTCACCATTCGGTGGGCTAAAGTAGTGAATTATTTGTCTTGAATTGCCAGATGATGCTGTTTATATATTGTTATATATATTTTATTATTTTATTGTTTCCCTTCGACGTGACTTTACCGAAAGAGCAAAGAATATGAATTTCTGCAGTCACGAAAGCTTTAAATCAAAATTTCACTTAGATAGGTTCAAAATTATGTCCACATTCAACCTTCAAAAACTTTCTAATTACGATAGGAAGCACAGAGTCATTATATACTCTAGCCGTGAAGCTTCAAATCATCTTGGGCTTGTAATTAAGAGAATATTTGTACTATCAAGCTTTCACCTTTGGCAAAAACGTGTGGACTTTGAGATGGTGAGCTGGTGCATTTTATCCAGTTTAGCACGCCAGCATGCTGTGTAAGCCTATAAAATTAGTTTTTGAGGACAAATGTAAATAAGGGTTACCTTTAACAGACAATGATCCCCTGTATAGCCGTTTTAACGCCTCCAATTAGCACAGTTGACTACGTACGGTGCTGAAAAAGTTCAACATACATATATGGTCAGCCAGCACCTATTAAGGTGGGTACGGCACACAAGAGCGGTGGGCGGCCAACATCATTCCCCAGTAGTGATATTTACACACTGCACCAAGTACGCATTTATGGCTGAGTAAACCTAGGGGAGGCCTAGGATCATTTCAGAAATTCGCTGTTACTGATGTTGGCTGTGAGCAGAACCGAAATCCAGCCGAAGGAGTTATCACAAGGACAAAGATCCCCGTGTAGCCTTAACAGA